TTGACAAACCAATTGATTCGAAAACGCAATGTGCAAAACAGTGAAAATAGTGCAAATTAATCGACGAAATAGGAATAGGAGTGAATCAGGGATATCACTGATGTGAATAAGAAAGATTCTTTGACATAATGGGGCAAAAAAAGATCTGAGAGTAAGAAGCCATCACGGGAATCAGATGTAAAAGTTGGGCAGAGAAGATGAGGTATCACTAGTGTTTGGGGAGAATGAATTCTATTGGAAAAGCCTCACTCAAGTTGGCATGTTCTATGTGTACTTTCATATGCAATTCTCATGCCATAGTCAGTTGCTGAATTTTAATACCGAAGATATCTCATTGCCATGGTGTCTTCGTACTTTCATGATTTATACGGATGGTTGCGTTAGGGTTCCGTATTATCGTGACAAATCTTTCATTTACTTCAACCGCATCGTTGATTCGATCTATTTCTCCGAGCAAGCTTTAATCTACTCATTTCTTAAGCTTGCAGTTTTCAGCTTTTCCACCGCAAATAAACCATAATCAGTTGTTTAACAGAACGCGAACAATTTATCCTTGCTTAGCAGAAAACCTATGCGAATTATGCTCTGAATCTTAGAATGTTGCTGGAGTATTTTTAATTTATGTAAACTATCGTTTTTGAAATACTGCCTGCATATTAGCAATAGGATTATTTATTAACCATTGAGCGTATTTGAACAATTGTGAGTAACTTTGCGATGTGAACACTGAGATTTATACTGAATAGATAAATTGCTTGCATCTCCTATCATTCCGGTATGATCCCATTCGAAAATCCGATCTAAGCCTTCGCTATATTGGTCCTCGGTTGGCTAAAACAGAAAGGCAATATTCGGAAGAGTGTGGATTTCCTTTACCTTAACTTTTATCTGTTCATATGTTACTTCCACTTTTTTGTTCATGTCTTCCTTCTTCCTTATTTATTTCCCTTCTTTAGCAACAGTTTTTCGGTACAGTGTGAATTCAAAAAAGAATTGAATGCGTAGTAAACAGATGCTGAGTCAGTGTTCGAAATCATATGAATATTTTGGAAATATCCAAGGAAGAACGGTTAACGATTATGACGCAACTCGACAGTATCCTTTCAAAAACACCCAATCGAAAAAACAAAGTAATTTCTCCAAGTTATCTTTTCATGTGAACGCTCTCAGTTTAGTACTACTCAAGAAATCGATTCACAATGGTGCAATGAAGCAAAAAATGATCATGCGATCAAATTGAATGTGTGCCTATCATTAGTTCGTTACCTGAAGATTTGAATGTAAATTTTTGAATCTAAAACATCCTCAAAAGTCATGATGACTGCGGGAATTTTTATCTGACCGTTCAAACAAATCTATCGACACATCTATCAATGAACGTATATATAAATATTCCTGATTGCATGATTTTGTTATTTTTTCTGAACTTTAGCTCTGTTACACCATTTGTTTAAACCTTTTTCGAATTCAACCGCTCATGTTCGTGACATCGTATCTATCGCTTTACTTTTGCTATTTCTCGTGTTGTTTTCATTCAAATTTCGTCGCCAATTCATTGTTGAACTTCCTTGATCTTCAATCGTATTCTGTGTTATTTGTGTTACATATGCACCATTTTATATTTCCAGTTCAGTTGAATATCATCTCATATTGTATGCAATTTTCGCTGTGGCTGTGCTTTTAATATGTTCACCAACACGATGAAATAAAATTTCGACGAAAACGGTGGTTATGAGGAACTTTTATGCATGAAAGCAAATCGTCGTTCACAGAGATGCGTTGACATAATGAAGAACGCGACTTGGAAACAAGCATAATAAGCGAAACAAACACAAACAAAATATCATCAAAATATACAAATGAATTTATGAAAATTCGATAAAATATAATAAAAAATTCACGATTGTTTTGCGCATTGCAGGAACGATTCAATAACAATGACACATCGAAGGCATTCTAACGAAATGAGACGCTTCTGTTGATGTGTGATATTAAAAAAGATAAATAAAATGAATACATTGAAATCAAATGTGACGGTGCACCGTGCACGATGTTGACAAGAACACAACGAATTTATCTCAAAAAATCCACATCCTGTATCCACTGCGATTAAAAATGAGACATTTCCTTCAATAAATATAAGAAAATTTACACATTCATTGAATAAAACTAATATCTAGAATAATCATAAATTGCAAGTGAATGAGGCAGTGATGCATCATTTACGGTGAACAGTCCAAGAAATACTCAATTCATTTTTATCGAAAGGAATCCACAAAACACACACTCAGTTCGTTGATCGCAAATAACTTTTGTGAAGTTTAGCGATGAAATTCGCATGAAAACTGCCCATATACAGGTACTCGCCATCGTCAGTCACCTGCGAAGCTTCAGTCATCAATACACCGTACGTATCGTGGGCACTCGAGACGATTTGTCCGTTTAGATCCAATTCAATGATCATTGCATGTCGCGTTCTCAGTTTTGAATAGAGAATAGACCAATATGGAGACGGTATCAACTGAAAACAATTCAGATGAAGATTATCGTTTGATGGAATTCTTATTTTATCAATACATGACAATTCATAACGAGGATTGGGGATTGAAAATCAACGTGTGTATAAGCGGATTAAACGGATATTAACGTTTTTGTGAGAATAGAATTAAGCTATAGAATTCTGGCAGAACATTACAGTTAGGAGGTTAGTTTTCACCTTAACAGGTTGGTCTAGTGAACAGTACAGGAAAGGGGATACAATATATTTATTCGATCCTTCTTCCGTGTTAAAATAACTCGATTCGATGCACTAAAAGTACAAAATTTAACGCAGATGCAAACCTTCAGGAGGAACTTCCTTAGTACTGGTTTTTCGGATACGAAATCTATGAGCGAAAATTGCTGGTGACGTCTAACGTTGGCCATACCAACCCAAAATGTTTTACCATCATCACTCAGACGGATGTTATCCGGTAATCCTGGTAAATTTTCAGCGAACACCTCTGTGGTGCCCTTCTTCGGTCCGGCTATCCAATGCCTCAAATTGCATCTTTAGTTACGACATTCCTTCTAGCAGCAAATGAATTTGTACTCCGTTGAAACGATCGTAATGGTGATTTTGATGGTCGTTACCCGACTGAACGTGAAATCTTCCTCAATTTTGCATCGCATTTGAGAGTTTCAATTCACCGTAACAATCTCAACGAATCGCTATCAAAACATGAATGTAAGAAGTGGAAGAGGTGGCAATTTTCAACAGATCATAGCATCAGGCAAGAACATGAAAATTCGACGATCCTTTGGATAGAGTTCGTTTGAGGGAGCCGAAAAATCCGAAGTGAAATTCAAAGAGACGTTTGAATTTGAGCGCTGGCGAATAATCTGAAAGGAATGCGGACCTCTTGATGCGAGCCATTGCTGTCTCAGCAACCAAAAACGACTGTTTATCAGGGAATAGTTGAACACCGTTCGCGAAGAAAACATCTTTCATGAGCACTTTCACCTCGCCTGTAGACGGCACAAGACTGAACACTCTGAAATGTAAAAACATGAATCTCGCATCCATCTCATGAATTCCTAAATCAAATAAATTTATATGTGGATAATCTCATAACGAACAAACAAAGACTAACATCAAAAACTATTACAAATTTACAGAGAACTAAATGTACAAAGTTGATCATTTAAAACCATGGAATTAACTAATACTTCGACGCCATCATTGAAAACGGCAAATATCTTTGCTAGTACAATAATATTTTAGTCGGAGAGGTTTTTACGAAACAGTTTCACCCAACTCAATTTAGAGAGATTCTTTATTCCACGCGAAATACACGATCCAGAAGTTTTGCTGCCGTTAATAAACTGATGTAAGAATCTAATTGGGAATTAATTCGATGAAAATTTCCAATTCAAATGAATCATTCAAGCAATTGCATTTTACCTCCCGTTCGGTATTCCTTCCATCAAAATTTTGAAGTAATCTCTACGTTGCCATCTCGACGACGAATCACTGAATATCACCAAATCATCGTTCACCACATCCAAATCATTCAGAAATTTCAACGGTTTACCGTCGACTTCGCGTTTCGCATCGAAAACTTTTTTGAACTTTTCTGAAAAGGAAAATTCCAAAGAATACATCATGTATCATTGAAAGAAATCCATGCATTGCGATTATACCAGTGGTTCTCACGTTCGGGTGCTCCATTACCCTTTTGATGATCTGGAGGCCGCCGTTACTCCCGCTTTCCCCTACTGAATATGGAAATTGCACACGTTACGTTCAGATGACCGTTACGTTCAATTTTATTAGCACGTTCATGATGGTATTCAACATCGCTGGACTTCCCCTTAGACCGTTACGTTCCTCACTATTACAATCGATTATGATTGTATGAAAAGCTAT